GTATTTATCGGACCCTCAAGTTTTGTCTGTTATATTAGGTTTCACATTATTCGTACATAATGTAGAGTATAAAACTGATGTCTTTCCATTTAATCAATTTTTAATTTCTTATAATGCATTATAAAGCTGGTTAGTTACAAACTACACAATAAAGAGAAGTATTTATCGGACCCTCAAGTTTTGTCTGTTATATTAGGTTTCACATTATTCGTACATAATGTAGAGTATAAAACTGATGTCTTTCCATTTAATCAATTTTTAATTTCTTATAATGCATTATAAAGCTGGTTAGTTACAAACTACACAATAAAGAGAAGTATTTATCGGACCCTCAAGTTTTGTCTGTTATATTAGGTTTCACATTATTCGTACTTAATGTAGAGTATAAAACTGATGTCTTTCCATTTAATCAATTTTTAATTTCTTATAATGCATTATAAAGCTGGTTAGTTACAAACTACACAATAAAGAGAAGTATTTATCGGACCCTCAAGTTTTGTCTGTTATATTATGTTTCACATTATTCGTACATAATGTAGAGTATAAAACTGATGTCTTTCCATTTAATCAATTTTTTAATTTCTTATAATGCATTATAAAGCTGGTTAGTTACAAACTACACAAAAAAGAGAAGTATTTATCGGACCCTCAAGTTTTGTCTGTTATATTATGTTTCACATTATTCGTACATACATTATAAATTGATTCAGTTTAACTAGATGACAGTAGCTGAAAGCTTTCAAAAATTTAATGGAAATGTAGAGTTTACCCATTTATTGTGTATTTACAAATGATAGTTTTTTTTAAATATTTTATGGTTTTATGTTATATAAATTAAACCATTAGAGTATAATCTATGAATTAATGTTTCTTGGATTTGAGTTGCTTTTATTTTATTCCTTCGAGTAATATCCTTACGTCTGAAAGAAGAAGCATTGAATATTGGACACTATTTTTTTTATTACAGATTAAAGACTCGCATGTTTTGGTGGCCACAGCACAACCTAACATGCTTTCCAGACTTCACGAGGCCAATGTTTTTCTGGAAGAAATCCAGAAAGGACTAAATGATTATCTAGAGAAGAAAAGACTGTATTTCCCAAGGTAAATTTAAACCTTAATTGGGTGAAAAACCATCTAAACTGTACAAACCAAAGATGTATACATTTTATAATTTGTATATGAATATGGCTATTAATTTCAGAATAAATATATATATGAATATTTAAGTTTATAAACTGTGTACTTCTATGATTATATATGGATTGAAAGAAAGAATAGATCTTAAAGTCTCCTATAAGTTAAGTTAGAAAAGGTTTTATTTTGTTAATGTATTTTTATACATACTTGGCCATCGAGATGATCTACTTCTACAAACGTTTTTATTATTTTTACTAAGAAACATTAGTTTTGTATAGGTTATTGCAGAAACATTTGAAAAATGAATAGATTATTATAAAATATGTTTAGAATAATTTTAAAAGTAACTAATTTTTATGTATCTTATGATAATCATTTTATGCACAGTTGACAAACTAACTCATGTAGTATATCCACTACCGGCACTTGTGTTTAAAATAATTAATAATTAATTAAGAACAACGTTTTATATTTACTTGTAGAGATTTTAAAGTGGAAGCCGTACAGCTTCAATAAAAGTTTTTATTGTGTAAATATAAAACGTTGTTTTTAATTAATTATTTATTATAATTTTAGCAAAAAAAATAACTCGTGTAGTGTTTCTGGTTCTCCCTCTACTCAGTTTTATTGATAGATTACCTATAAAAAGCTTGCAGACAACATCAACTTATAATTTGATTCTATAAAACTAACTATGAGAAGACAAATGTTGTAAAGTTAAAAATACTTAAGTAAAATTTGTGGATTTGGTGTCAATAAACGAACAGAAGGAAATGTTATGAAGTGTACATCTGAGTAGAGTAATTGTGTTATTTTAGGTTTTTCTTTTTGTCAAATGATGAGCTGTTGGAGATACTTTCTGAAACCAAAGATCCTCGAAGAGTTCAGCCTCATCTAAAAAAATGTTTTGAAGGAATCAGTTCCTTGGAATTCACGGAAGACTTGAAGATTATAGGAATGGTCTCCGGAGAGAATGAAGTAGTTCCGCTCTGCGAAGATATATGTACAGCAGAAGCTAAAGTACGTCATTAATCAATTATACACATCATTAGATATATTTTAAACACCACATTCTTTATTCTGTTCAGTTACCTAAATTGAAAGTAATGTTCTGAAATGGTCTTACCTCCTTTGTTTTCTTATTAAAATTCTAAATTTAAATTGGAATAGCTAAAAATTGGTATACGATAGTGTAATGTATTCGTGTGATATCATTAAGTTTCCCCATGGCTTCTTTTGTGATGGGAATCGGTTTTGTGGAACATAAAATTCAAAAATCATGTTCTTTTTTTAATGTATGTTTAGGGAATGGTAGAGAAGTGGCTGGTGGAGGTAGAAAGTGTAATGATGAGAAGTCTGCAACAAGAAACTTTAAAGGCATTAGCAGCTTATACGCAAGTTCCTAGGATACACTGGGTTCTCGAGTGGCCTGGTCAAGTTGTGTTGTGTGGCAGCACAGTGTACTGGACTTCAGAAGTATCCAGAGCACTGGCAGAGAATAAAATCAAGGTAAGTGAACAGTCACTTAGCTAATAACTTTATACTTATGTATACACCACAAATGTTAGGTAATAACTTTTATACTTATGTATACACCACAAATGTTAGGTAATAACTTTTATACTTACATACACCACAAGTGTTAGGTAATAACTTTTATACTTATGTATACACCACAAATGTTTGGTAATAACTTTATACTTATGTATACACCACAAATGTTAGGTAATAACTTTTATACTTATGTATATACCACAAGTGTTAGGTAATAACTTTTATACTTATGTATATACCACAAATGTTAGGTAATAACTTTTGTACTTATGTATACACCACAAATGTTAGGTAATAACTTTTATACTTATGTATATACCACAAATGTTTGGTAATAACTTTTATTCTTATATACACCTGGAAAAAAGTTAAGCACCCCCAAATATTTTTCAGGATTGCTTATTGAAAATAAGGTTTAATTTTTATGATGTTGAGCAATGTTCATAATTTCAAACATAATTAAAAGGATGTGAGCGT